CAGTACAAGATCGGTAACTTTGAGGTGAAATAGCATCGAACCTTTGAAAAAATTATCGATTAGGATATTATTATTATTATTATTATTATTTTTTTTTTTTTGAAGAACAATTTTCTGTCTGATTCATAGGCTGCAGCCGCTATTCAGAGGAGGTTGGACCCGGACGTTGCTATGTAGGAGTTTCTGCAGTATAAAGTTTACATAAGCATAAGCTTTACTGGCTTTATTTACATAAGCATAAGCTCTACTGGGTTTAGTTAAAAGGGTCTGGTTTCGTAACTAATATTTCACTTTGGAAGATAGTTTTTTTACTGCTTTGTCGTGTATTTGTAGTTTAAACTTAATACAAGCTTTTCTACAAAGATATAAACATGAATTTGGTGCTCGTGACACTTTTAAGGGGAACTTGCGGATTTTATAGAACTCAGTATGAAAGTTTTTTGGCCGCTGGAAATACTGCACATTGTGACCGTAAGGTGGTTTTCTTTTTATCTTCGTCTGATTGTACACATCGATCATAACAATAACTGAAATAAATAAATGGAAAGGGGGACTTTTTGACATGATCAGGACTCATATAGATTTGTGACTAAAGCTGTTAAACAAAATGGGTCGCTCGTGTGTTTGGCTCGGCTTGGCTTGTTTGATGAACGAACCAAGCTTGAATTCGTTTACAACTCGTTTAGTTCAATTAGAGCTCGGGTTTACTCGTTAAGGCTTCCAGATAGGGATTTCATGCAAGTTTTTATAGCTTCGTCAATGGTATCAAGCTAAGCTTTGCTCAATAACGGTATGAGCTCAAGCTTGAGCATGCTCATTTTGTTTACACCTACTCGTGTTTCTTGTATGTATAAATGTATAATCCACCAATATTGAGAATTAGCGAAATGAAAACAAAAAATTAGTGAACCTTGTACCTCGTCACATACATTGAACAAAACATGCCAATAATATATACATGAAGCTTAAAACTCAACTCTAAGATAAAATTAGTGGAGAATTTTTGTCATGGCGACGGTGGCCGGAGAAAAGGATGAAGCAAACGGAGAAGAAGAAAAGAAGGGTTTTTGATACGAAAGAGAATGGGAATTAAAATAGGGTTGTTTGGTTTCAGATTTCCTATTTTAATTATGCTAGTATTTTGTTTTATTGGGCCAAGTGTTTTGGGCTCAATTTATGTTTAGAGTTTCATTTAATTTTAATGGCAGTTGGGTAAGTGTTGGGGAAGCCCAAATTGGAACATGTATTTAAAGGGAACACCATGTGATGAAAGGTATCAAATCAGTTACAATTATTCTCTAATTCTCTCTCTCTCTCCTCACGTCACTTTCTCCCTTCTCCCTCTTTCAATCTCTTCTTCCCCAAGTCTAATTACAGCAAACCT